TAAGCATGGATGGCCCCTTCCTTCCTGCCTCCCTGCCTTCTTGCCTTCCTTCCTTCCTTCCTTCTCTCCTCCCGCCAAGGTGTAGGGTCGAAGCCCACACGGGACCAGAGGACCACAGGACGAAGGGACCAGACCAGAAAGCTAAGAAGCCAAGAAGCTAGAAACAAAAAAATACCCAAACAAAAACAAAAAATCCCTAAAATAAATACCCTTCCGCTAAGAATGCCCCGCCCGTGTATCTGAGCTTGAACATGAACTTCTCTACAACAAGTTGCAGCGCCGGAAGCTAGGTGCTAGTTGCTAAGTGGTGGATCCATTCTTGTGGGCCTGCTGCCGAATCTGAGACCAAGATTTCAAGTTACTGTTCGCAAAAGTCTTGGAGTTCCCTAATATCAGGCCTTTACGGCTGTAAGAATTTCCGACAATCACAATCCTATTGTCCAACCACTACTTGTAGAAGTGGATCACGAACTGCCTGCACAGCAGCCGCATCCTGGCTCTGGAGGTGCTGGCAGCGCTGACGCCTGCAGAGCAAGCCATGAGACATCTCAAGCTACAGAGACCTCAGCAGCTTGAGCCACCATTGTTCAGATCCCATGCCAGATACAATGGCTTTAAACAGGTCCTGCCAGGTGGGCAGTGGCTGAGGGAATGTCATCTACGGCTTCATGTAGCCAGCAATGTCATTGCCTTTTGCCCTGCAATGCCATGGTCTCCCATCCCATCCCCGCATCATTCTGGCATAGGCTGCCCGCCTACATGGCGCGCTGAGTGCTCATCTACATGATATGTGCGAGCAATGACTATACATCAGGCTTAACGGCTTTGAACTAACAAACATCTAAAACATCAGAAAGACCCCCTTCTTCAGGGTCTCAGCAACATTCTTGGCCTCAGCGGCTCGTGGAGTGCCAGGTCCTTCTGTATCCATGCACCCTCGTCGCGTGGCCGCGAGGCAGGCGAGCTCCCAGAGCGGCTGCTTTGTGTCCCTGGGGCCTTGCTGCAGATTCTGCAGATGTACTCCCTAATATGATCCTATCTGACCCTACAGGGCTGCACAGACGGAATGTTCAACAGATCCGTTTTTGGGACGGCTGCCGGTTGCAAGTGCAGAAAGCAGCACGATGCGCATTACAGGGGCAGGAGTTGATGGATACGTAAAGCCTGGGCAGAAAGCCACTGTATGTACTTCGAACCTGTTTGGGATGGCCGTGCCGCAAGCAAAATGTAGTTGGCCCATACCACGGATCAAGCCAGAACTGAAATTCGGGACATGCAGTAACTACTTCACCCTTCGGATCCTTCACTTCACGCAGCTCCCGCGTCTGCTCGCGGGCCGCTGCTGCCTGCGCTGTGTTTTGATAGCTTCCCTTTGACGTGCCTTTTGTTGATTACGGCAATATTGCCCCGCCGCATCACGATGCAAGAGCCCCGCAAACTCCCATATGTTTGGCAATCATCCCTAGTCGATGGAACTGGGCCGCCTTCGAGGCGCGAGCTGCGCGCAGCTTGTCGCCCTCCTGCCGCGCAAGAGCTACCCGCCTCCTAGCCCTCTGTCACTGAACTTTCTGGCAGAATGCTGAAACTGTTCCAGGTAGCAGAATGTGTGCATGAGATGACATGCGCAACGGTGATCCTACTTTGCTCTGCGATGTGTGGCTAAGTGTGGTCTTACAGCCGCCCAGTGATTTGGTTTGGCAGGCTACTTAAATACCTAGAATGGGAGGCGCAGGCCCCACCATTGGGGCTTGTTTTGGTTTTGTCGCAGTTAGCTCATTATCCTCTTAGACTCTAAGCCTGCCATACCCACACTCTCGGCTGACAAAAACCCAACCAAACCAACACCAGAAATGTTCTTCTAGCCAATGATTTTCCCTTCTCCTTGATCATCCTTGATCTTGATATCCTCTGCAAGCACGGCCTGCCTAATCCTTGCACGAAACATCTCCTGGCATAGTATGTCAGGCATAAGCATTCAATAACCCCCTCCCCCTAATATTAGAACCCCGCCCTTAAGCCAAAATCACACACACACACAGACACATTGCGGAGTTTAACATTAGCTGGAGAGGATCACCCACTTGGCCTGCTCAATCCAGAGCTTCTCCCGGCGCTGAAGCTCCAGGGGATCCCTGGGAGGACTGCCTTTGAGCAGCGGCTGTGGAGCCTCGATAAGATGCATGTGGATGTGGGGAGTAAGTTGGGCTTTGCTTGTGGAGGGTGGTCATTTTTTCAGAAGTTCGCCTGTGGCCCCGAAATGCTGGATTTGAATCTGGCAAGGCTCTCTATCAGGTTGCGAAAGAAGCTTGGCCCCTAATGTCCTCAAAACATACAAGACTGTTTGGTCAAACCGTTAAACCATGAACATTTGAGAGCCCGTTCGAGCGGTGTGTCATTCTCAGCTCAGCCACTTGTGCAGGAGTTGTTTCCTTCTGTATCGCAGCTTCCTTCTGCAGCGCTGGCGTGGTTGCTGGCCGTGCTGAAGCCTTCTTGAGCTTCGCCCGCGGAGCATGGAGTTCCTTTCGCAGTCAAGAGCTGCAAAACTATATGATTGGAACGACTTGCGCCAAATGGTGGATTGGGTTAGCTGCTTGTTTTGCGTACAAAACATAAAGCAGCTCCTTATGTCGGTAACTATCCACATCTAGAAATAGCATCCTCTTTGCATTAAGCTTGAATCTAACTGCCTGCAGTCCTCAGCACCACGCTACAAATACGATGTGTCTTCAAAGTTCAAGCTGCTTTGGGGTAATCTGGAAACCTGCAAACGAATCTGTCATTTCAAGGTCCTGAACACTTGTAACTTTCAACGTCATAGCGGTGCCGACTAGAAGAATACCAGGCTAAACATGTCATGCAACACCTGTTCTGACTTAATTAAGACTTGTACAGGGCCAAGCTTGTGCATTCCAGGCACGACATCGCGCCGGATCCACTCTAGCTCACGCTGCCGTCTCTCTGCAGCCGTCTGCGGTTTGGGCCTGCAGATTTTGTCCAGAGCCCTCCTACAACACAACCCGGGAACACGTGGCAGCACCTACTTTCATAAAAGCAGGCTTGCAACCCTTCATTCAACGTACACCAAGGCACAAAGGCTACTGTATACAGAGATTGGGTGTGGGTGTCCTTCTTTAACGCTTGAGCAGGCCGCAAAACCCCCCTCTAGCTCCTGGGCACCTGCAGCCACCTCATCACAGATCTGGCACATGCCCCGTTTTATCATATATTTTGGAACCGATATGTTGCAGACCTTGGGGGCCATCAACCTGGACTCAAGCTCTGGAAGCAACAGCAAGCCTGGTGCTTTTGGCGTGGCCACTGCGCGCGGCAGCCTTCTCCACATCCTGCTGAGAAGCTCAGGCAAGAAGACCTGTTACTGCAGGCCCACTACAACAGAGGAAATGGGAAGTATACACTGTTAGGACGGGCCAGGCTTTGTCAACAGTTCAAGCAAGGCCGATCTAGTCCCAAATACCTCACGGAAGCTACAGGTCTGTCTGCCACATAAAAAAATGAGTAGTGAGACTGGCTCACACGCGAATCTGGCTCATTCTTGCGAAGCAGAGACGTCCTTGCGAAGCCACTCACGATCCTTCGCGCCAGCCCTGAATGTGAGAGCTGACTTTCGAACTGCCGATGGTTTGGGAGCGTGCTCTTCGTGGGTTGCCGGTCGGGGGTCAGCCTTACGCTTCTGATGTGGTTCCGGGTCGCTGCGGGTGTGACGCTGAGGTGGGTCATCGGGTTGATCTCGCGGCAACTTTGGCACGCGGCCTGGGGCAGTTGTTGTGGTGCTGGTGGTTGCTGCGGCAACAATGCTATCGGCAGCGCTTCCTGTCGGCTCGCCCAAGGCAGTCCGCTGCTCTGCAGCATTCGCGGACTCATCAACCAAGTCGAAGTATTGTGGCAACAGCCGCAAACGCGTGGCTGGCTCCATGGCAGAGATGTCGTCTGGGAGCACTTCGAACGATCGCTGGGCCAGCAAAGAGCCGCGGCGCACGTGCACGGAGACGGTGTAGGTGCCAGAAGGCAGTGGCGACCCCAAATACCGCTCCCATATGGGACCTGACCTTGCCGCCTGACCGCCCCCTCGATATCGCACCATGCCTGCGGAGTCCACCCATCGAATCTCCAGTGGCCCAAACCAGGAGTGCTCCGACTTGTCTTGCATGTCTACCTTGCTTCAAGATCAAGTAGAAGTTCCCTAGACCCCCAGCTCTTCTTAATCTCCCTAAATACCCAACCCCAATATCCACGGTGCTCAAATTTCGGATCAAGTTGCAAGCACCAAAGGCATTAGAACAACCCAGAGATCCTTCACAGCTGCCGCTGGGATGAGCGAGACAAAGCCATGGAAAAGGAGTTGATCCTTATTTGAAACAGAGCCCCAAGAAAGTAGCCTGCGTCATAAGAGCCCCAAGATGAATAACGGTAACCCAGCATCCCCGTCCCAGCCGGTTCCAACGCGGAGAACGTGCGGGAAGGAGATGCCGGAGCATTGGACATCGGACCTGATCGCTGGGCCAGGTGGAAAGGGATCCGCAATGAAGAAGCGCTCCTGGACGGAAACAATTGATTTGCTGCAGCCACGATGGTTTTTTTGTCTAGTACATGTGGGCTTATTGTTGCTGGTAAAGCTTGATCTTCTGACCCATATACCAAAAGCTAAGGGTTTATACCAAACCTACAAAATGAGCAGCGGCTCCATAACGAAGACTTCCGCCTCGATTTGGCAGTCATGAAGCTGCAGTCCTTGCAGGGGTTGCAGTCACAGCTTCTGTAGGGAAAGGGCGCACCAGGATTCCGTATTTCTGGGAATATCTCATCAGGGTCCCCAAACCACCCCGGCATGGATACATCCCGGATGTACACGTCCCCCTTTTCGGTGGCAAAAGCCCCAAACTTCTCAAGAAATGCCCCGGGCCTGGCACAGCTCCCTGGATTTCGCATGTGCCGTTCGCAGGTGAGAACTTGACCTCCCCATGCGCACCATCAAGGTCTCCACGCATAGCTGAGGTTTCCACACTCAGAACAAATGGATTCAGGGTTCGGCGCCTTTCCGACCTGAAGGTGTATTTGGATGCCAGCGCCATCTAAGGTAACATCCTGATGCCTGGTTTAGTAACTGACGCACACCCTTCATCCCCAGAATCCTCTCCCACTTCTAAAATCAAAGCAGCCGCTAGTGCAACAGTGTAGCACGCTGTGGCGTTAATTGTTGTTGTCTTACTCTCCTCCAGTTATGGCTTATGCTCTGGTGCCTCAGCCATAAACGCGTCCGCCAACCGCCCAAGGGCTTCAGCCTTCCGTCGCACGCGGCGCCCTCCAAAGGCGCGCCTCGAGACCTTTCAGGGTAGAGGTTTTGGATTTATAGAAGCCTTCGCAGCGTTACTGGTCCTTTGCCAGGGGGTCTCTGCACTGCGGGTCCTCGCCCAAGGAGTCATTAACGTTTTGGAATTTTTGCTGGTTTGGAGCTCGACCGAGAAACGCTGTGTCTTGCAGGGCTTTCTACGGGACCCCTTCCTTCTGCGTTCATCCTGTTCCCGAACTTCTTTACTGATCGGACAAGTGATAAAAATCTTGTGGGTCCACATAAGCTTTTGCTCATAAGGAGGAGTATGGAGGAGTCAGGCAGGAGCCGAGCCGGGCAACCTTCTCTTACTACTCAGCTCACGGAGGGCAGGATGCTTTTTAAGGGACTTCTTTAAAACCAGAAGCCGCCTTTCGACATGGTCAGGCTGCTTCTGACTACATACTGTGCTTTAAGGAATGCCCGTAATTAATCTGGAGCAGTGCCTTGGACACAGAATGTACCCGATCGCCTGAGCCTGAGCTGCACAAACCCGGACACACAGACGGCTATAGAGAGCAAGAGACCAGAACCACACGGTACAACACATCGCTGCATGCAAACCTGAGATGTACTGAAGCCATCCCCAAGGCAGCACACATCCTTGTGCTGAGAAGCTAATTGCCAAAAGCGCATGAACCAACCAAAGTGTTTGGTTGGCGTGTTGTGCCAGCCAGTCAGCACTGAGCTTCTGGAACTTCTCCTAGGAAGCATGCGACCCAGGCTCCAGGTCAATTTTGCTTCACATGAATGTATCTGTTAGGTAGAAACCTGGGCACCAGAAAGGCTGAAGGATCAAAAAAAAAATAAAGAGGGATCAAAAACAAAATAATGGCCGCGGATCAATAAAAAAATAAATAGGGATCAAAAAAATAATAACCCTCTCAAGGTAACGGTCGAAATGTAAGAAAGCCCCACGCGACAGCGCGATTTCCATCTCAAAATGCGAGAAAGCTCCACGCGACAGCGTAATTCCTNNGTGCAACAGCGCGATTCCGTCTGGAAATGCAAAAGAGCTGCACGCGACAGCGCGACTTCGTGTCAAGATGCTAAAGTATCGGTCTTTGCTTCTACTATTCTAACGATAGCTAATGTTGCAATTTGTTTTATTACTGTTATGAGGACTATCAGTTTTAATTTTTCATATTATTACTGGTCTGTTGCTTACTACGAACATGTTATCATTATTCTTATTACTGCTATAATC